CACGATGACGCACGAACTCCAGCTCGGGCGTGTTCGCTGTCGTCACACTACCTAGTATCACAAATATTATTATACTAGCTGTTCCTGTGCAATTTCATTCGCATGACAATATAAAAACTGTATTTTTATTACTAAAACATTAGTAGATTTTTTTTAATTAGCTATTATTCATTTACCATTCCAACTAAGCTCTAGGTTTGTGGTATTGTGTAATTATTGTCCTTTTCTCACATCACAATTGTTGCAATTTATTTACCCCTTTAGTTGAATAACGTGAAAACATATTTAAAAGAAAAAAATAATTATTTAGAAGAATTCGATTTTTCGTTATCAACAACGCAAAAACATGTTAACAAAATGTTAGTTTTTCTTTCAATAAATACAGACGTTCCGATTTCGATGAAAAGACTTTTGTCTCTATCTTTAACAAGTATTTGCACCCCAAAATTTGTGTTAATGAATACTTATATTTAAATAATTATAATTTGAATATTAATAATAACAGTTTTTAGTACCTAATTCAGAGAAGGGATACCGCAGGCTGTAGGAGGGTTGGCAGGCTAAGTCCGGGAACTGGTCTTCCAGGTCATCCAGCTTCCGGAGCTGCTGGCGAAGAGATTCCAACGGACTGGACCAGCCTTCACCGCGCCTGAAATATACTTTTATGTAATACGTTTCAAATCTTATATACTTGAAAATGTTACTAGCTGTTGCTCGCGACTTCGCCGCGTGGCATTTAATAAAAAAAATATGTAGTCTATGTTACTGTGATTACAGCTTAGCTTTTTAATGGTGAAAGAATTTTTGAAATCCGTTCAGTAGTTTTTGAGTTATTTCTCATCTTTATAATATTCATTATCATCAGCTCACTGTATGTCCCCACCGAGGGGCTCGGAGCCTACCCTAATAAGGGGTGACTAGGCCATAGTCAACCACGCTGGCCAAGTACGGGTTGGTTGACTTCACATATATCTTTGAATTTCTTCGCCGATATGTGTGATGTTTTCCTTCACCGTAATAACGTCGGGTAATTTATGTACATATGAAAATTCGAAAAATCGAAAATCATATTGGTACATGGCGGGGTTCGAACCCAAGACCTGTAGATTACAAGTCAAGGGCTTAAACCACTGAGCCACCGACGCTCACAATATTAGTAAAGATATATTTATACATACTTGGGTGAGTAATTAAGTCTAGAAGTGGAGGCAGACTTTAATCTAGTGAAGCACCGCCGACGACCGTGTCCTAAAATAGTATTATAATAATATAATTTAATCACATAATTATAATTAACTATCTTTCGCATGCGACACCGTCCGCATGGAATAAAAAAAAGTAAGCAGACTATGCTCTACATCTATGCCAAATTTAATTAAGATCCATTCAGCATTTTAGGCTTCAAACTGTAGCATCCATCCATCTAAACTTTCGCTTTATTACATTAGTAAGATTAAGGGCCTGTCCCACCACTGGCTGATAAAGGCTCAGATAGCTTTAAATGACATCACTTTTAAGGTAACGAAATCCGATATTTTCATCACAGGTTGGATTAATATCAGACAATTTAAAATTTGGCGAGATAAGCCCTCAGTGTCGATTTTACTGTTTCATTTTTTTTATTTACTAAATATTTGGAATAAAAATTATACCATTAATTGTTTCTTTGGGCTTTTCATCTGCTGTTGTTGCGTCGGAAGAGTCTTGGTAGTCCGTTGTAACTCCTGTAAAATAATTTATCTTACAAATAATAACTATATACTTTGACATTTATGCCGACTAGCTTTTGTACGCGATTTCGTCCGCGCAGAATTAAAAGAAAACTTAGGATGAGTAAAATTTTTATATTAGTAAGATAGTAAGAAGTAAGATATCTAATTGTTTTAACATATATATCTCATATAATACGTCTTTGTCCAAAAAAACGATAGTAATTTGAAACTCATTTGTTTGATACAAACGCTTATAGGTGGCGTTAGTAACTTAAAAAACAATAATTTCCCACCTTCTTCATAGAACTAGCAAGGTATTAGTAATAACTAGTTTTCGCCCGCGACTCCGTCCGCGTGATATAAAAAAAAGAGAGTATGTGTTCTTCCAAACTACCCTCTACTTCTATACCGAATTTCATCAAAATCCGTTCAACCATTTAGGCTACTAACGCTAACAAACATCCATCTTAAAATTCGCATTTATACTATTAAGTGTGATTGTAGCTTATCTTGTATTTTTCAATGTACATGGAATACGTATGAAAATAGGGGAAGACCTAGCTAATAGGTAAAAGATTAACATACAAAAGGATAGGAGAAGGTAGTTTTTAAATAAAAAAGAAGTATAAATGAAGTCTTACATTACCAGTATCTCCTCTATCTCTGTGCGCGCGCGGTGGCTCGCGGAACGCCACTGCGGCGCGGCGCCGCGGGGCCTTCGCCCCCGACGTCAGAGAAGACTCCGCTGATGGTAATAACTACGAAAACATTCAAACTATAGCAGAGGTAGCGAATCACTGACACACATGCCATAAATGGCACACAACATAATGGACACGTCGATAATCATAACACTACGAAAAAAATATTTTTAACAATGGTAGAGCCCGCTTTAACACTTCGCACGAATGGGTCGGCTCGCCCCAGCAATACCACGACCACACAGAAGACAGGCGTGAAGTGGAAATAATTCCGCGTTCAGTCTGATGA